TCTCGGGCTCCACACTACCACCTCAGCGCCACGTGTCATCAAGCCGAAGAATGCGCCAAGCACTCACGGGACCACACAGCAAGGAGTGGTGCGAAGCGATGGATGTGGAAATCAAGGCACTTGAGTCTCGCGACACCTGGGTGCTCGTCGATCGAGCGGCAATCAAGGGGAGAAGGATTCTCTCAGAGAAATGGGTGTTCCGCGTGAAGTCCGCAGCGGACGGCATGATTGAACGATTCAAGGCGCGATGGGTCGTACGTGGCTACGACCAGAGGCACGGCATCGACTTCGACCAGACGTTTGCGCCGGTCATCCGTCACACCTCCGTCAGAATCCTCCTCGCCATCGCTGCCGCACGACACCTCCCGCTCCGACAGATTGATGTGAAGAACGCGTTCCTCTACGCATTAGTAGATGTTGAAATCTACGTGGAGCAGCCGCATACATACGGTGAGGGGGACTCACACGTGTGCCAGCTGCGAAAGTCCCTTTACAGGATTAAACAAGCGCCAAGGCTCTGGCAGCAGTACCTGCACAACATCTTGCTCAAGATAGGCTTCAAACAGCTGCCTCATGATCCCGAGATGTATCGCCGCGATTTCCGCGGCGAATACATTCTACTCATGGTCTACGTCGACGACCTCCTCTATACAGGGTCAAGCAACGAATTGCTTGAGCAGTTCGAGAAGAACCTTGCGGGGCGCGTCGATATTACCACCAGCTGTGGAGAATGCAATGTACCACTAGCGGACCGATATCGGTGGTGAGTACATTGCATTCTCCAGGTATACCACCAGCTGTGCCTCCCTTGCCATTTTAGCCACGGCGAATGCCAGCTGGTTGTGTGTGCGCATTCTGTCGGGGCCTATGCTGCAGCGGAGTAGGTGGTTGGGGAGGCTGCAGTCGGCTACGAGCTCTCCACACTCGCACACGGTAGGTACATTCTGTCGGATGCCCATGCGGAAGGCCAGGGCTGTTCGGAATTGCCCTAGTGAAAAGCAGAGGTCTGGAGTCAGGGGTAGGGCTTGCAGCCATGCCCCCGCTCCCTTGCCTCTCAGGCTAACGAGGCGGAGCGTGTGCCCCATCTCGGGGCCAGACCTGATTGCGCGTGATTCCTCCGTCAGGGCGTCGGCCTTTGCCGTGTGCACTTCCTGAGAGAGGGCGCGCTACAGCTGGTCTTGGGACGGGGTTTCCTGCTCCTCGCGGAGGTGTTACAGCGCCAGTGGTGGCAGTCGTCCCTCCATGTCTTGGATGGTGACCGAGTGCGCTGCAGACGGCTGCAGGGCGTTGCTGTTGCTCCCTAGCGCCGCGGTTGCTGGAAGGTCAAGTGAGCGGAGCAGGCGTAGCGTCTCTATTGTCGAAGCCAGGTAGGCTGGTGCTACTTCTGTTGTGGGGTCCGTGAGGCCCAGCCCACCCAGGGCTACTGGGAGGGTTGCTTGGCGGATAAGAAATTTCAACTCGGCTACAGGTGGTTGGATGCTGGCGGGAGGGTGGCTGGATGCTGGCGGCAGTCAAGGCGGTGTTGAGCAGTTCGGCGCACTACGCGTGCCATTCTGAAAGAGGTAAGATGTCTGCTGGGGTGGTGCGCCGTAGGTAGCCGATTCTGCGGCTGATGCAGCGAGACAGTAGCAGGAGGGTATGCTGTGGATGGATGGATGCTAAGGAGCCCAGGGGTGCCGCCGCGTCAGTCAGGGTATTGCGGACGAGGTCAGAGCAGAAGCGCTGTGACCCGACAGGGCTTCCCAACACCCGTACCCCCTCGTGGGTGAGGGGAAGGCCCTCGGGGAGCTTGTCACCTTCTAGCGGCGAGGAGGACCACGCCGACGACTTTCTGAGGTTGCAGGTGAGGCCATCCTGGGCTAGCAGCGGCGTCAGGACCCTTAGTGCGCCGAGCGTTGCTGTCACCGGTCCGATCATGGTGATGTCGTCTGCATATGCTAGGACCGTGACTTCGGGGTGCTCTGCCGCTACTCGTCTGAGGTGCTGCTGGATTGATGCCGCAAACAGAAGGGGTATGAGGGGATCCCCCTTCCTAACTCCCCTTCCGCTGGTGAGTGCCATTGTGCTCAAGCGGGGATCGGTCACCAGCTGTGAAGGCGTCGCGTAGAAGGAGCGTGTGAAAGGTATGAGCGGGGCAAGCAGGGTGTTGGTGAGTGCGTTGAAGAACACTTTCCTCTCTACGGAGTTGAAAGCGTTCTCAATGTCGAGTTGGAGGACTAGGCTGGATGGTTGTCAAGTGGTGAGGTCTCTGACTGCGTGGATAACGAACTCAGCCCCGCCTGGGACTGCCACGCAAAATTGTTGGGGTAAGAAAAATCGCCTTGACTCTCCTTGCAGTTCTGAGAGTGCCACCTTTGCTGCCAGCCAAAGCAGGGATTCCCCTATCACGATAGGGCGTACCCCCCCCCCCTGGTTTCGCGAAGGCGATGAGGCTGGATGGCGAGAGTAGCGCTGCAACCTCGGTGGAGAGATTCGTCGAGAGAAGGTGTGTTACGGCGGAGTGCAGGTGCCCCAGTACCTCGATGTTACTTAAAGCCGGCGGCCCAAATTGTTCATGCTTTTAAAAGTTGACCAGAGGGAGTTTTTCTGGTATAGGCTTTGGCGAGAGTTCGCGATTTCGTCTAGGTTCGTTTTTTTCGCGAGACCCAGCCAACCCTCAGTTTTCCCCCTGGTGAGTGAATCTGTCTTCGAAAGTCCCAAATTGCAGGTGCGTGACTTTCAAAAGCTTGGACACTCAACTTCGTCAAGTTTTAAAAACTTGACTCTCGCGGTCCGCAATTTGGGACACGGGCTTTAAGGCTGGGTCGCGGTAATGTTCGAATGTTGACCCTGATGGACCAGCCCCAACTCCGCTGGGGTAGTCCCCGAGGACGTTTGAGAAACTTTCCACGGTGCACGAAAATTTCGTGGGTGTTGTGTAGGTGTGGACCCATTCGGGCAGGTCAATTTGGGGTTGGGGATGTTTCGATTCCAATTGCTGCAGTGTCGCGATTGTCGCAGGGGTTGCTGGCGAGGGTTGAAGGGCTGCCAGCGCTTTTCGCAGGTTACCCCGTTTCACCAGCACCTCCACATGTGAGCAGATTCCCAGGGGGTCATTTTGGTGCTGAGGTGGTTCGGCTTGGTGCAGGGACCCCGCGTAGTCAATGTACAGCTGGTTCCAGTGGCCACATCTGAATAAGTCGTAAGGTGAGACATGGCAGGAACATGAGGACCCGCCACGCTCCCGCGCAATTTGGCAGCTTGGAGATCCGTAGGAGGGCGGCCAGCATACAGGTGGAGTAATCACTTAGGATCTATGGCGGCGGACGATAGGCAGGTGAGTGGTCGACGTTAAGATAGTAGAGTCCCAGCTCATCGCGATCTGAAAGAGATCCTCCCTCAATGCCAGCTGGGACGCCAAAAGGGCCTGGTCCGGAGGGGGTTGGGGTCTGCGGTTCTGTCGGCGGCCAGATCCTCTCTCTTGCTGCTGCGCCTGCTCCACCCCCGCTTCCACGCGGGGTGAGTCAGGATTGTCATGTTGCCTCAGATCTGACGGTACATATTCGTCGCCACTCCCCTCTGCGTTTGTATCACCGATTCTCCCTGCTTGTGCTGTCGTTCCTCCTCTCGCCCCGCGCCTGGCAAACGACTGGCGCGTGACTCGTTCCGCTGGCTCCCCCAGCCAGATTGGGCTCGGCAATTGGCAGGGATTCCCCCTTGCCGCTTGGCCTGCGCTCCGCTGTCCTCCGTTGTTCTCTCTCTCTCTCTCTCTCTCTCTCTCTCTCTCTCTCTCTCTCTCTCTCTCTCTCTCTCTCTTTCTCTCTCTCTCTTTCTCTCTCTCTCTCTCTCTCTCTCGCTCTCTCTCTCTCTCTCTCTCTCTCTCTCTCTCTCTCTCTCTCTCTCTCTCTCTCTCTCTAATGGTCCGTGTATTAATAAACCAGGAGGGTACAAACATGCGAGGTAAGGCAAGTACTGAAATGCAAACATCAAGTCTATCATACCAGCACTATCCCCTAGATCTCTAGTAGGGGCTCAATTACTGCAAAGCAGTCTCCCAGATACAACTCTGCCCCAATCCCTCCCACAGGTGGGTTCTCAGCAGCTGCCGCCTTGCTCAACTTCTGCAGGTAGCCAACCGATTGGGCCCTCTGCAATGCAACCGACCACCTCTGTCGGAACTGGTGCAGGAATTTGGCGGCTTGGAAGGATTTTGAGTCGGCGTTGAAGTATCGCCGAGCCGCCGTGTCCGCTAGTAGCTTGAGGAAGACTGGAACTTCAGCACACGGGCATCCGTAAGTTTCTACAGCCAAGGGAAAGAACCCCACGGTCTCTGGTCAGTTAGCGTAGTGCTTGATCTTCTTGTCGGCCTGCTCCCGGGCCGCCCATCCCCTGCCTTTCGTTGCCTCGGGATCCCTAGTGCTTATGGGATCTGTGATTGTAACATCGCACACCCAGACCGCCCCGCTGCTACGGTCACTCATGGTGAAATCTGCCGTTTGTTCCTCGATCGGGCAGAAGGTTGCGGACTCGCTGTGGACAATGAACCCCGCGTCTTGGGCCATGCTAATGCATGCGTCCCGGAGTTCATTGTGGGTGTTAATGCGGTGCTTGCCCGTGCCGCAGCGGAAGAGGTGGTTTGGTAGACGTGGGTCGGGGATGGCTGTTTGGCCCGTGTAGTTGCAGTTCGCCGGCGTAGAGAATGGGAGGCCGAGCCGGAAGCGAACAGCGTTAGCGAAATGTACGGGTCCAATGCGCCGATTGGCTGCGATGGGGATGGCGGTACAATCTCCTGTGCCGTACCCGGTCAGTGAGAACATCCGTTGGGTGTGGCCGGATAGCGGGTTCGGCCTCATGCGCCTACTCTCCTGGACTTGGACGGCGTACCGCCAATCTCTCTCTCTCTCTCTCTCTCTCTCTCTCTCTCTCTCTCTCTCTCTCTCTCTCTCTCTCTCTCTCTCTCTCGCTATGGCTCATGTTGAAATAGCTCTTGATAAGCTCCACTCCCAGCTGCTCACACCACGATGCCCTTTATATTTCCTCCCCCCATTCACTCCCTCACCCCCTCCCACCCTCCCTCCCTCCCTCCCTCCCTCCCTCCCTACCTCCCTCCCTCCCCTCCCTCCCTCCCTCCCTCCCTCCCCTCCCTCCCTCCCCTCCCTCCCTCCCTCCCTCACCTCACCCACCGGGCACACGGCACACCCATCAGTCTGCACCTTACAGCCGCCCAGCCCCAGTGGACCACCAGCGTGCGCTGGCTACTCTCCCGCTCTCCCGCACCCCCGTCTCTTTGCCTCTCCTTCTCTCATCCTTCCCTCATCCCCCTCATCCGCCGATCCTTCACTCTCCCCTCCTCCCCCACCGCCTCCTCCCTCTCATCCCTGCAACTAAGCTTGGGTGTCAGAGACAAGTTCACAGAGGAGGATTACCGCCTGAGAAACTGGAATTTAGGCTTTCTCAAGACCTGCTTTTCCCTGCACTCCCTCACACTCGGACGTGGCGCTTGGATAAAAGCTGCCTCACCGCCTCCTGGATGCAGCCCCTTCGGAGCTTAATCCTTAAAGATGTGGACCCCAGGGGAGTCTCTCTTAAAGCCCTGGCTGCCATTTCGCCTCAGCTGCACGAGTTCTCGTTCTGCGAGCCGTGGAAGCTGGAGGAGGAGGGAGGGGAGGACTGCAAAGGACCGGTGCTGCTGGCGCTCGAGTTCCACAGGGCTCGCCGCCTCTCCTTCCACTTCCTTAGCCACGAGCTCAAACTGAAACTCGCCCTTTCTCACGACTCCCTCACCTCCTTCTCCGCCTGTGCCCAGTCCCTCACTCTCGCCTGCAGCTCTGCCCGCCCTCTCACGTTGACCTAGCTTTTGCTGTTTGGGGAAGAGTGGATTCATATTTCTTCCTTCAAGGTTGCCTCTGTCCGTGCGCTTTACCTCAATGGTCCGATTAACCTGCTGCCGCCACGCCCCCACCGCATCCCAACTGACGTTCGGAAACCCATGGAGATCTGTGGAGACTCGTTTGTGTATCTTCCGCCACCGCAGCCGTTTGCATGGGCGGACTGGCTGAGGACACTCGTGCCAGCAGTGGAGGTGCTTATAGCGGGCATGACATTGACCTTGAGGCCTGCAGGTTCCCCTGGCCGAGGCTGTGGAGCCTTTGGATTGTCGTGGCGAGCGATTACGATGTGATGAACCCGGTGCGTGGGGAGATGGCGGTGGAGGATGTGAAGAGGGCAGATGGGAATGAGATCATTGAATGGACGAGAGCCCAGAGAAGGAAGGAGCAGGGGGAGGCGAGGGAGACGGAGCACAGGATGAGGAATCGAGGGCTCACTCGGTTTCATGCGGGCCCGTTTGGCAACCAGCTTGGGGTTGACGATGATGATGATGACGATGTTTATGGTCCACTGGAACGAGCGACGCCTTCACGCAGATCTGCTCCCACCCGACTGTGCATCCCTCCGAAAATCCATGCTCCAAATCTGCGGGCCATCTTCTTTCCAACCCGCCGCAACACACCCTGAGCCTTGCTAGCAGACCTGAGGGCGAGGCATCCCTCACTGGCGCTGTACTGTGTTGCAAGGCACACGTGGTACTGGGAGAGGAAAGGGACGAGGGTGGAGGGTGGGCCGGTGTCGCATGTGAGGGGGCCGAGAGGAGGGAAGAGCAGTGCGTCGTTTAGGAATGGGAGGAAGAGCGTGCGGGACAAGATGAAGTGTGAATTGGGGGCTGATGGAGGGGTACACGCTGAATGAGGAGTGGTTCATGGTGGAAAGACGGAATTGGAAGCAGGTGGTTGGTGAAGAGGAGCGGGAGAGGGATCGTAATGATAGCGATGGTGACGAGTTTGATGACGAATATGATGAGGATTAGGATGAGAAGGGATGGGGAGTAGAAGTAGGTGCGAGTGCATTTCTGACACATGGTTTTATTTTTTCCTTGCCGGCCTGCTGGATTATACATAAAGCATGCTTTCTGTTAATTCACCGAAGCAGATCCACTACAAAATATGTGTTACGAGTGCAATTGAGTGAGCGAGCGAGGATTGCACTATCGAGACAAGAATACAATGAGCGAAGGAATGAGCGAAGAATATATAGCGAAACTTCGGTGGTAACGGTAACGTGGGAAATTGGGGTGCGCGACGGGCCTGGTGCCGAGGTTGGGGAACTGTCGAGGCGGAGGTCCGGAGCGCGGGTTACCAACCGAACTGTGAGGTTGGGTCGCATCGTGAACAGTGGCGGGAATGGTGTCGAGGCGAATGTCGCGAGTGGTAACGGGATGTTGTGGGGTGCTGTCAGTGTTGTACGCGCTGAGCAGTGAAGCAAAGTAAGGAAAATGATTTTTCCTTACAATATGCAAAATGCATATCCCTACAACAGGCTGGCAGACTGCATTCGTTTAGCCTGTCTGAATAAGGTAAATAATAGTCAGAGGCCCAGGAAAGCTTTCTTTCTCAAAAGGCAACGAGTATTTCATTAGCTAAACATATAGAACAAAGGCTGGTTTACATACCGTCATACCCCGGATATACCCCCATGGGGGGCACTAATAAAACATGTTTTTTTTAGGGGGTGGGCTTATAATATAGTAAAATTATAAGCGCCGGCGTTTATGTTATGTCAAAAATGAAATTTGCTTTTAAATATACCAAATCGAAGCATTCTCAAAGGCGGATTCACCTGAGTCGAGAACGTTCGACTCTGTGCATGCTTTGCGCGTGAAACGGCCAACAAGGCATGGCATCACGCCTTCCACGCCTTGTTGGTCAGGCCAGGTTCATCGAACGTGAACCTGGCCCATGCCAGGGCACACGTACTTCGCATCACAGCGGCCCAATCAGGGTTGCATGCGATCGTGGGCACGTCGTGGTTCAGCCACGACGTGCCCATCAACAGCAAGATTCCCTGCCACCGAGGCAAAGAGCTGTCCCTTTCAGCTCCTCTGCGGGGAATCTTGACTGTGGCCACACTTTCCCCGCAGAGGAGGCTGGGCCGCGAAACTGAAGGGGTCTCGGGCGAGGGCTTCATACGGCCCTCATTCCCAACTTTTGGTTCAGTTTTCTTCGTTCGTTTGGCCTGCCGTGGCCATGGCGGGCCTTCCAGGCACGCATTTCTTGTTCCGCCGCCAACCTGCTGCTAGAGAAAATACCCACAGAGACACTCGTGACTACTCTCAATGGCAGACGTGCCCTGCGCCCGTCCCTCCACCACAACCAGTAGTGCCTCCCGTTCCTCCCACGCCTCCTACGCCTCCTACCCCTCCCGCTCCCCCGGCGCCTCCTATTCCTCCCGTTCCTCCGGCCCCTCCCGTCCCGCCTGCTGTTGGTGTTCCGCGACAGGGGGTTCTGCAGCTTCTCCTCCCCCCTGGCTACTCGGCGTTCGACGCCTTCCTGTCCGAGCCTGAACGCAGCGGCGGCGAAGGATCTTCCTCCGCACCGGAGCCACGATGGGGAGCGCCGGCTGATTGCCCGTTGGACGAATCCGCTACCGGTGCGGACGACGACGTGGAGTTCTGGGCTGCTGACGGTCTCCCCGAGCACCTTCCAATTCCCTCCTTTCCCCCTCCGAATAAAAAAAGGCCCCACCCATCTCGCGATAATCGTGATGCCCGTCCTCCCTCCCCCAGGCACAAGCCGACAAAGCACAGGCGCAATTCCTACACCTCGCATGAGAAGCTGCAATGGATTCTGAAGCTCGAAGCCGGAGAGATGAGTGTGCGGCGCATGTCTCGCGAATCCGGCATCTCCCGAAGGTGCCTCACGGAGTGGAAGAACCGCAAGGGTGAGCTTGAGGGCGCGCACGGTGCACGCTGTCGCCTGCACGGCCGCAGAAGGAGCTCGTGGTATCGCGACATGGAAGCGGAGGTGTACCGGAGGTTTCTCGCCCACCGCAAGAAGTGCCTCGCCGTCTCGATCGCACGATTGCAGAAGTGGTCGCACGAGGTGATGAAAGAGTTACACCCAGGTGAAAAGTGGGCCGGCTCTCAGCGGTGGACTCAGCGCTTTCGCCGCCGCTGGAACCTGACGACCAGGGCGAAGACCCGGGTCGGCCAGAAGCTCTCGTCCAGTGAGTTGTTATTTGGTGGTATTGTTGTTTGTCTGTTCCCGTCTATTCACGGCTCTCACTCTGTGTTTGTGCTTTATGTTCCTCCCATCCCGTGTCCCAGACTGCGAGACTGATGTCAAGAACTTCTGGACGTACGTGCGTCACTCCCGCCGGCAGTACAAGATCGACCTGCCGTGGATTCTAAACGCGGACCAGACGCCCCTCTGGCTCGAGATGCCATCCGAACGCACCGTTGAAGAGGTTGGCTCGCGCTCCGTGCCCGTCCGCAGCGGCGGCTACCAGAAAGAGCGGGTTACAGTGATGCTCGCCTGCACCGCCAGCGGGGAGAAGTTGAAGCCTTGGGTCTTCTTCAAAAGGAAGACCGTCCCCAAAGGAGATTTCCCTTCAGGTATGCACCACACGTCGATTACGCGGTGGCATGTCGATGTCAGTTAAAAATTTTAACTAACATCGTGGTTTTGTTGCTGTGCAGATATCCACGTGGGGGGTCCATCCCAACGGGTGGATGGACGCGGACGGTGTCATCGAGTGGCTGGACGGGGCGGTGAAGCCGTACATCAACCCCAAGTTCGGAGTCCGCCCCCGCAAAGCTCTGCTCGTCCTCGATTCGTACCGCGGGCACCTGACCCCAGAGGTGAAGAAGAAGTTTGGCGAGCTGAACCTGGTCCCTGCGGTTATCCCTGCTGGCTGCACCTCGGAGATTCAACCCCTCGACGTCGCGGTTAACCGTTCCTTCAAGGCCGGCGTTCGCCAGCTCTACCAGGAGTGGTTTGAGCGTGAGGGGGTCGACACCTTGTGATCTATCCGTACTGTCACATCGGCGCCGGTCAAGTAACAGCGCCACACTTTGAACGCATGCACGATCGCAAGCATTTCGCGATCGTGTATCGGATAATTCTTCTCGGGCGGATGCAACTTTCGTGATTCATATGCGATGGGTTGTAACCCGTTTCCGAAGTCTTGTAGTAGTACGGCTGCAATGGCGATGTCGCTTGCGTCGGTAACCACTTCGAATGGGTGGTGTGGGTCGGCGATGCGCAGTACGGGCGGTGAACAGAGAACATTTTTCAGGGTAGAGAAGGCAGCATGCTCTTTCTCCCCCCACGTAAAAGTGACCCCCTTCCGCAGCAAATCCGTTAGTGGGGCCGTTAAACGTGCCATGTCGGGGACGAACCGGCGCACGTAATTAACAAAACCCAAGAAACTCTGCAGTTCCGTGATGTTCGTGGGTGGATGCCACGCTTTTACTGTGTCCAACTTCTTCGGGTCGATTTCGACGCCAGCCTCCGAAATAACGTGCCCCGAAAACTCTAGCCTATCCTAAAAAAAACTCGCACTTGGAACCCTTGGTCAGTAGTCTGTTTTTGTCTAGAACTGTAAATACTGCTTCTAAATCTTCTAAGTGCTGCTGCTTATCCCGACTGTAGACTAGGATGTCGCCGAGGTAGATGATTACGCATTTATCTAAGAGCGGCCTAAATGCCTCGTTCATCGTCATCTGGAAAGTCGCTGGTGCGTTGGTCAGCCCGAAAGGCATCACCGTGTATTCGAACGACCCGTACCTAGTCCTAAAAGCTGTCTTGGCGTAGTCCGACGGTTCGACCCTAATCTGGTGGTAACCTCCCCGTAAGTCAATTTTCGAAAAGACTCGTGCTGTTCGTAGTTGATCTATCAGTTCGTCGGCGCGGGGGATGGGGTATCATGATTTAATGGTAACCCTATTCAATGCTCGGTAGTCGATACACATGCGAAACCTGCCGTCCTTTTTTGGTGTGAACAGGATCGGTGCGGCGA